TCAGAATCTCGCCACCTTCCAAGGCTTGAAGTTCCAAGACCTTTTGGATCCAGGCTTCATTACCTACAGAGCTGGCTTCCCATGGCTTCCCCAGTGCGGGATGGGAAAACCATGGGAAAACCCTTGGAATATGGATCAAATCTCGCTGCACCGCAACGAGACCATGGAGTATCAGAGAAGCTCGAGTTTCTAAGTAAAAACTCAGGATGCACTTGGGGTGGGGCATGCATCTCAACATATCTCAACAAGCAAAAGCACAAGGGAAAACCATACCCATACTGCATGCCAGGGTTGCGTTGAGCAAAGTACTGCGCCAAGTGAAGGGATGTAGCGCCACCTGATGGGACGCCACAGTTTCTGATGTTGGGGGAGGGAGAAAAACGATATTTCACAGGGGTTGACCTCTGTAAACGGCAGTGTGCCATGGACAAATCATCAAAGCATCAAAGGTCGCAACACCATGACTGATCTTACCATTGGCAGGTGAAAGATGGTGAAAAACCCTGAGATCTCATTCAGGACCTCGGGACCTCGTCCAAAGACGAAGTCGGAGCTTTCCAAAGGCGTCCAGCAGCACATCCGGAAATCGCTGACCCGCTGCTGTGGATCCATTGGTGGTTGAAGATCTGCGGGCAGATCCGGCTCGGTATCCTCAGGATCATCAAATGATCTCAGCCTATCCCAGTCATGTTCTGATTCTTATTCAAAAGGCTGGAAGTCGTGGGATTAGACTGATTAGACTGTTAGACTCATTGGAAGACATGATCCAAAATGATGAGGACCACAGGATGCAACGATGCAACCAGCAAGGTCCAGCCCCTCAGTCGAAGCATGTGTTTTTGGACAAGTTTCCCAGCTTGAATGGTACCATGACCACAGAGGCAGCAAGAAAATGGTCCCGTTCTTCTTACCTGAAGAACACAGAAGAACCAACAACTCAACAATGCAGCAATAAAATTGTCAATTGAACACAATTAAGATGTTGAATCCTGACTGCAATGGTAATTTGAACAGAAGAGCTGGTGCAAGTCACATACATGTCTCCACTTTTTCAGTTCAGACGTCAGGTATATCGCCTGATCATATGTCCCCTCAGCAAGCCGAGCAAGCCCAGCAAGCCTGCCAGAATGCGCACTGGGGTGGTGTAGACGCCAAGGTTCCTGCAAATCTCGTGGATCCGCTCCAGCTTTTCCAAGGAATCCTTCGCTGGACTGGTACCTTTCTTCTCTCCCCGCGTCCAGGCTTCATGATTGCCGAAGCAAAAGAAGACCTTGTGGAAAGCAGTAGTCAGGGTGGTCATCACCTGAACATAGGGCCGAAACATGCCAAAACCCCAAAACCCAAGATTGATGATCATAGATATGTATTTTAGGCTGGTGAAACAACCCAGTTTCATCATGTTGAAATGTTCACCTCGAAAGGGGGGCCAATGTTTACAAAAAGAGTCGCCTCTTCAAATAAGTCTTCAGAGGTGCACAAATCACCAGGCAAAAGAAGGCAATCAAAGAACTTATTTCCATCGACGTCGTGCGAGAGGCTCTGCAGGCATCCTGTGTTTGGCAGCTTCTTTTCGCAATACCTTGGGCCTTTTTCCTCTACTATGTACTGTACAGTGTGTACATCATATCATCTTATTACCCAAAAACATGCTCAACATATCTCAACATCATGACACATAACAACCCACACAAAGTGTGGAAAAATGATGAAACATGTTTCACAGCAACCGAGCTTCGGTTCATCCATTCTTTGTTCTGCTTGTAATCCACGTGCAAATCTGAGATGAGGAAAATTCGCAGCTGATGACCCAGTGGCACTTTCACATCTGTGACCTCCACAAGGCTGGGATGGGACCTTTCAAGAAAGAATGCAGCTGAGGGCTGATGGATCTTTGTACTATTTTGTACTCAGTTCTGGGAAAATCATGGAAAATCAAACATCTACAGTGATCATCTACAATATTCTACAGTCAAAAAACCCAGTAGAATGTTGTAGAATGTTGTATCTTGAAACTATAACCCATTGATTTTTAGACAAACATCTAAAAAACCCAGTTGGTATCTTGCAAATTAAAAAATGCACATCTGCTTTGACTTGAGCCATCTTGAGCCTCCCAGGCTCAATCTGCCTTGGGATGCCTTGATCATCTATGGCACTATGGCATATGCGAACCATGGTGCTGGAATATGTACCAACATTTACCCCATAAATGACCCAAATATAGATAATATACGTGAATATACCATACATGGAGCATATGGGATATAGATGGATATAGTAATAGCTCGTGATACATACTACATTTACTACATCTCTCGCAAAGGTTTTCCAGGTATCGGCCCGTCCCTTACCATTGGGTGCCTCATCGCAAGTGACATCCGGCACTTGGCGGAGTTGACTCTCAATCTCCTCCAGCTCATCAAAGTCCAGCATCGATCGACGTTCGGAAGGCCCATGGGTCGTGAACCAAGCGCTTCAACACTGACCGGGCAAAAGCAGTGATGGGCTGTGGCCCAGATTGATGACAAAAGATCGGAAAAGGGCACCCAAATAAACTACAGTTTGATGGGTTCTATGCCGGTCCTCCAAGGTTATGATTTTTGCGTCACAAAATGGCACCCACGCTGCGAAGGCCCCCTTGATGAATATCCCTCTCTAGTCAGTCAGAAGGAGCATCCCGCACGTGACTCTAGTGATTCATGTGATTCTTCCCGGGCGATTTAGTTTCCATGTCCTTGAGCCCCAAAGAGGAGCTTCCAGGTCAACCAAACAGTTCGCGTCTCCCCTCGTGACAAGAATCTGATTGGACCACCCCCACAAGATACCTCCAACAGGCGCAGATCCCATTCCAACTGTGAAGGAACCAGTTCCAGTGGCCTCGTCCTCGTTCCAGGACATCCTGTACCCAATGGATCCCAGTGGCCCATCGTTGCAGCTGCAGATAGGTAGTACAAGTAGCATAGCTTTAACATGTTCCAATCTGTTCAAATATCCCAAGTTATTCCCAAGTTATGCAGTCACTATGCAAAACTACAATATGTGATAACATCAATATTGACAAGGTATGACTGGTAACTGGAATTTTAGTCTACAAAATCTACAAGTACTTCCAGTGGGCTTGTGGAATCTGCGGCATGTGGATTGTTTATTTTGGCATTCCACCATCTGTTGGTGTCCTGACCTGACTTTCAAATGTCCGGAGCTGACGCTTGGGAAAACCTGGCAGCGAACATTCGCAATGGATGGGACCTGCTGGCTTGTTCGCAAGTAGAGAAAACAGCTGCTCAGGTTCAGACCCCATATGGGCCGCCAATTTTCGGGCTGTGTGAATCTGTAGCAGGGCGCAGGTCAAACTACAGTAAATCACAGTGTTTTTGATCCCATTGGTGGTGACTTCTGCTAATTTGCTGCACTTTTTCCTGGAGTTCTTGCCTCCATTGGTAGCTGGTAGTGCCTCAACTGGCCGTGAAAATGCCAGCCCTTCCACCTTTCTCCGAGCCAAAAGGGGATGCGGCTCCCCGTGCCTCCAACCGCTGCCATCCATTGAAGCGGTTTCATGTCATTCGATGATTCGAAGATATTCCAAGCATGTTGGTAGCCGGAGCTGAAACAAAAATCCAATGCAAAATCCAGAATTCACCAAAATGGCCCGTGTACTACGTCGACAGTCTACACATGTCTACACGCTCTACCTTGCTCCAAGCCATGCCCTTTGTTCCATCATTTTTTACACTTGTTGAAGGCGTGCAGCACGCCGCTTGTATAAAAGGGTGCTGAGAATGTGCTTTGGATCTAGGGTTAAAGTCGCAACACGTTTCTGCAACAACTTGTGAGCCGACTCCAATTCCAAACGTCTCTGAGAGATTCAGCGCATTCCCCTCCGATTGCCCCCCGGCTCAGCTGCATTTGGAGCCCCTAAATATGAAGGGGGGGTGGGCCAGGCCGCCACGATGCTGTTGGTAGCCTGAAGAAGACCACATTTGGTCCATTTCAGATTCCACTGGCTTTGCCAAAGAAATGTGACTCCGTCCATTTGCGAAGCCCAGCAGCATTCAACCTATGTTGAAGGTGCTTGACCCCCACCATATGGTTGCAATCCCACTAAAGGGATGCTCAAGTTTTTAACTGATATTCGGTGCCACTGGACCCGCGAAACAGTGATCACAACAGAGTCTAGCTTCAAATATGGACTTCTATAGTTTTTCTCGACCTGGAAATTCCCTTGCTATATCTTGTTATATATATAACATGTATACAGCATACATATAATATGAATATAAATAAATAAATATATATATATATATATTGTATATATCTTTCTTCTAGCTGACGGCAAAGACAGTCGCGCAGAGCAACTTGAACTGCAGTCACTATGAAAAAAATTAAATCGGCCTGGGGCCTGGCTCAGTCTTTCATCACTTTGATGCACGTTTGTCCTGGCAGCCACATGAAGGCGAAGCCTCAGAAAAATCAGTTTCTTATTTCTGTTGCTTTCTAAATCCAAGACAAAGTTCCCCACTAAACAACGTAAGTTACACCATGTACAGCAAGTCTACTGTAACATCTGATTTTTTTGATCGCCTGTCCTTCGGAGCGTCCTTCGCATGTGCACTGTCAGAGTCAGAGTAGTAGCTGTAGTCAGAGCCATAGCTCCCACTCGATTCCACACTGGCCTTCCGAGGTGCCCCAATAGAAATGGCGAGTAGCCAATCACGTTCACATCTACGTAGTGTCAAGCGGAAAATGTACAAAAGCCATGGGAAATTTGAAGATGCACAACCTTTGGTAGCTTATGTTAAACTCCCTTTTGTTTACGTTTGCATATTGTCTGGTTGGGGACGCATCATAAGTATAAATAAATCTCCGTCTCTCTACCCATGCACAGCCTTTGTACAAATACATATGCCTGATTATGCCTGCATATATATACAAACAATCACAAACATCCAAATATCTGCATATGTAAGTCATACGTCTGACTGTCTGTCGACATGTATGTCTGGATGGATGGATGGATGTAGATAGATGGCTGGATGGATACTTTAACGTACTTACGCATATTTCATATTTTCATGAACATGTTCTTTCCATAATCTCAGCAAAAACTCACGGATTCGCACCTTTCGTTTCTTGTTCGGTGCTGGGCGTCTGTCACCTGACAAGAAATGACAAGAATGGCAGAGCTACAACACATTACAACACTGTGTCAGTGAAATCCAAATGTGAATCCCAAAGTCCCAACAAATATATCAATTGGATCAGCAAATCATTCACGTCATCAACAAATCATCGAAACTCTCTGGTGAATAAATAAATATCGAAAATTACTGCAATCAAATGCAATTAACATAGTTGTATACACACAAATATCCATGAGCATCCATGAATATCCCCATCAGCATGTCCTTTTTTCAGGTGCCCATGGTTCCCCGTTCGGCCAAGCATCTCTGGCGCGCAGGAACTCGGCTTGCGTCAGCCGCACGAACGGTTCCTCCAGTCGACCGCAGGTGCCAATTCAACCCACTGTATAGCTGTTCATGGGATATTTACGGGATAGTGTTGGGAAATCGGCATGTTTAATAGGTAAATCAATGAACTAAATGGCCACGTTCAATAGCTACAGGATACAGTATATATGATGTTAAATATATTATAACTTAAGAGGTATATATCATCTACATCCACTGATCGTACACAAGACTCGTGACATCTCATGACCATCCTCTGCCACGGCCAGGTTTGCGACGTTCTTTGCTAGGGCTAGGGGCTGCAGCCTGCAGGACCATGGAAGGTTTGATGGCTGGAAAACCTAGAGATGGATTGAGATATATGATTCAATGATATTCAATGAACATCAATGAACTGCTCATAGCAAATCGAATTTACCCCAATAGCATCAAATAGCTATGGATCTGCAATGATCTGCTGTGGATCGGGTCCTCCATAAAATAGAACACGGTCATATCCTTTGGTCAACGTAACAAGCATTTGCAGGAGGGCCCAGCTCGGTTGACTGACCAGCAAAACCACTGTCACTTTACGCCAAAGAATTGCAATACATTTACCAAGTGAATGTCTTATGATTTCTTATGATGTCTTGTGACAAGTCTCTTGTGTACGGTTCTCTTTTGACAAGCCATGTGCCCAAAAATAAAAGACAATTCATGAAACAGGGTTACTAAGTTACTGATTCTATCAATTTCTAAAAAACAACATGTGCCAAAAAGGTTCCTACATCCCTCACTAAGTGACTGTTTCTATCAATTTCTGTGGGTCATTGTGGGTCGAATGTCCAATGGTTGACCATCCCTCAGCCCCGGCCCCTGCCCCGCCTGGGCTGAACTGGCTCCAGATGCTTTCGAATCGTGCACCTGTGCAACGATGTACGGCCACGGTGCACCTGATGTGCACTGCATGGAACATCATGGAACCATGGGTAACCATGGCAATTTGCGATGAAATTGTACATAATTTAAGTACCATCCAACTCTAACCGCTTAAATAGGCATGTCCGACATAACCAACTTCCATGTGGAAATCGTTTTTTTCAAAAATCCAGAAATTGGATACTTGAGTGATACTTGACCATAGTTGACCAAGTTAATGTAGCATCCGGTTATTTAACCTAGCCATGGAAAATCCACCCATTTTTAATAGGTAAACCATCTATTTCTATGGGCCATTTTCATCCATTTTCCATGGCTACGTTAAACCATTGGGATCCCCTCAGTTGATCCATCGCGCCTCGGGGCTGCCTTGCCACATGGCCTCCAACTTCCCAGGTGGCAGATCCTGAAAAAAAAAAAGGATGATGCCTCAGATATACATCATTGGGTTTAAGGGACAATCTAATTACAGGAAACCCTGGGTTTTTAGCATGAAAAAAGGGGGTTTCAGATATTATTGCAACAGTGCCATGCACATTTAAATAATCGCGGAATCTGTGTGTGTGTGTCAAGCATAACCTGCAGCATAAAGGGTCAGCTTAGAATGTGCGTTTTAGCTGTCACTTCATAAGACAGCATTAAATTCCCAGAGCATTGCTACATGTTGCTACACATAGCGTTATAATATAGCGCACACATATTGGTATAATCATGTGTAATATGTGCAATCATGTTTTCAGCCCAGCGCCGAGAGAAATAAATAGTAATATTACAATATATATATATTATATTATATATATATATATGTAAAAATATTAAATTACATAATATAATATATATATATATGTGTGTGTGTGCGTGTCCCTCTCTATTTCTCTCTTCCTCTCTGAATATCATGCCGTATACGCTGGCATGCTGGCTATCTGTCAGCTCTATACTGTACTACACTCGCAGATTTCTCCCACGGCACGGAAATGACAAGTTACCTCTGGTTGCCCTTCAACTCCACATGCTCGGCTCGTGCTGGGCGGTGCAGGAGCCTGTTCAAATCAGCTGCATGTGGCTGAGATATGCGTCCAAAGCGAAGAGTACTAACTAAAGGTGAGCAAAATGGAAAGGCCACGCAAAATATATTGCAACCGCAGCAAGTCATATTATCTAGCTGCTGTTTTTGCATACCATAGTTCAAAAGCTCCTTTGAAATCCGGTAAGATCCAAAGAATTTGCAGGTGGCACCTTGGCTCCCAAGTGATTCCATTCTTCGGTTCAAGAATTGTTGCTCAAAACAAATAATAACAAATATATAAAAAGAACCATGGATTTAAATAGAACAAGTGCTCCCAAAAAGCTGAGGGTTCCGTGGAATGATCCTCTAAATTCAACCCAGCATAAGCCGGTGGTTGTATCCACCATTATGATCTCCCAGTCGGCCTCCTCTTTGTAGACAGTGTATGAAGTCACAATTGACTCTTCTGAGTCGATGGTGTATTCCTGGGCAAATACACCAAACATGCAAGCACCATTATCATGATGGGCAAATTGCGTGGGATCGGATACACTACCATTACATATTATAATTTATAATGCCAAGTGAGGATTAATAATCCCCCCCGGATTAATCAACCACCATTGCCCAAAAAAAAAATTGTAATTTAAAAACAGGTGGTCCCCACAGATTAATAAACCGGTGGGCCTACCCCCGATTAATCAACCACCACTTCGGAAATCCATTTTTTTATCCAACATTTCTTATTTCCAATTCTATTTATTTCCAATTGTTTTTTACCTTTTTTTTAATCATCATTGTTATACTTCAGGTTTAAGTTGATCATTGAAAATTTCAAAAAACAACTATTCCCCAAATGATCGATTTCTAATTAAAATATTTATAAAAAACATCAGTTTGGATAGCTCCCAAAGGGTACCCCCCATGAGCCCATGTCCCCCAGTAATAATAACCATGGTTTGCCCCTGATTAATCAACCACCTTTCTGATCCATGAAATTTTAACAAATCCAATGGAATTCTATTAAGATCTAATTGACGTAAGCCATATCCAAAGTTTTATGGTTCAGAGTTGCTTATTATTAAGGGGTGATTTTCTAGGTACATCCTACCTTCTGGCGGGGGGGGTTTATTAATCCGGTGTTGGCATTACATATAACATAAAATTTGTATATATATATATATAAATTATAATGTAAATAAATATTAATACAATGAATCAATGATCCATGAACCTATCTACCAAATATCAACCACATATCAACATAATTAGATGGGAACCAACATGGATTAACCATGATCCGAACAACTTGCATGACTTTCATGTTCCTGCTCCATTTCTGCCAAGTCTCTGAGTCAGAATCAGCTCGTGCGCGTCTTCTGCGCAGCAGCGGGGGAGACCAGGGCGACCGCTCCCGAAAGGCGTCGAAGACTTGGCCTGGGGCCAGGCGGCGAAGCCCATTCGAAGCTGCGCCATGTCGAGTCCTCGACCATTCGCGGTCAGAATCCTCTCGACGTCGTGGACTCTCAATCTGCTCCTTTTTCACCACCAATTCTCTTCCGCCTTCGCGGGGATGGCTCCTGTCCCTGCTACTTTTCGTTCGGTTCCGGCGGGCCAAGCAGCGCTTCTCATCATGGGACACAGCATCCTGCAGCCGATGCCCATTACGGGTGGGCCTTGATGTTGGATACAAGGGCGCTGAAATAGTTCTTAAATGGCTCATGCCCCCTGAATCTGTTAGGATCATTTGCAACAATAAGCACCATGTTTCATTGGGATGATCCCTATGATTGAGCTGATACAATTTCAAGATGATCTACAACTGGGAGAAGACGGGAGAATCCTGGGCCCAGTCAAAGTGAATTCATGTGAATTAGAAGCGAATTCTGCGTATTTGTGCTATAGCCATAGCTGCTATAGATTGCTACATATTGCTACTATGGTACCTGCATATACCTTCTATTGCTCTGGGCTATGGCTTTATCGATCACCTTCGCCCACCGCAGCGCACCCTGTGGCTGGCCGCCATTGACGCCCCTAGAGATCCACGGGGACGTGGAGGACATGTTCCTAGGCATGGCCCATCAGGAGATGTTCCCGGGGTCTATCATTCTGTGCATATTTCATGGCTTAATCATACACATAGTTACGTGAATCCATCAACAAATAAACATAAAAATGAATAAACTAAATAAACAACTAAATGAATATAGAGATATATATATATTAATATATTATATATAATTATTTATATATAGATATATATTTCAACAAATAAACAATTGAATAATTGAATACATTAATATCATTGCTAAACAGTGCAGAAATCGGTACATACCTGAGAATGAGTGGACAAGAGCCAGCCCGGGCCCGCCCGAGCTACAGCGATGCTGTGCTGTATCTTCTACGAACACCATTCGAAGCGAAGATGCGTTTCTATCCCTCAGAATCACCTCATGCATTTTCTTCAATCAAAATATATCAAAACCATACAGAACTCAGACAAATCAGAGAAAAACAACGCCATCCCAAATGACGTCATAAACAGTGATGCTTAGATGCAGAACATCTAAGCAGAATTTTCGAGGCGCAAAACTTCCCCTATGAGGTCGCTCAGAGCGTCAAAGGACCGCCATTCAAAGTGAGATAAATCTGCCTTCAAAAACACTGCAAGGTCCGACGTTTACCTTGTAAGTTTCCATACGTAGCTACCTTGCAAACAAACCCAAAGGCTGCAAATAATTCATATCCTATGATATATACATATATTAACAGCAAGCAGCAAGACCAGCCAAAAATCGACAAAACAAATGCAACCGAGAGCATCAACTTCAACGCACCGCTATTTACGATTTGTTTTGCAGCTGGGCAGCAAAGCAAAAAATGCGATTCTCCAAACCAAACATCAGCCCAGGGCTCCGGCTGGATTTCGCAATGTTAAAAAAACATTTGCCTACTAAGGATTGCTATAAGGATGGCACTGTACCTATTCTATACACATATCATGGTTCAGATGTAAGTGGAACCCCTACCTGATCATAACTGGAGCCCAATGAGTTGTTTTTTTTTTTTTCGTTTAGCCATATCAAGAAACGCGTTCAGGAGCTGGAGATGATGATGTAAATGCCTACAATCATGAAATATCCAGGATATGCGAACATGATAACACACACACAGAACATGTAGCAGCAATGATCGAAATGATGACGACGACGACGACTACGATGAGGATGATGATGATGATGATGATGATGATGCTGGTGATGGTGGTGATGGTGGTGGTGGTGGTGATGGTGGTGGTGGTGGTGGGTGGTGGTGGTGGTGGTGGTGGTTGTTTCAAATCAATTATCATTTATTAGAAGCAGTATGATAGTGATGGTGATGGTGATGGTGATGATGATGATGATGATGATGATAGTACTGGTGATGGTGATGGTGGTGATGGTGGTGATGGTGGTGATGGTGGTGATGGTGGTGATGGTGATTGTAACGGTGAAGGCCATTCACTGATGCTGACATTTAATGATGTTTATATGTTGATTCATCGTGTTTACAATCTATTGTTTTTCATGTGATTGATATGTTTGTTTCTGTGATATCTAAATCGTTTACTGCATGATATTACACGTGCTGCGATTCTGGCGACAAGGAAGATGACCAACGGACAAACAAAGGAAGTGATGAACGCAGGATGAACAAATAAAGTCCCACAAAGTGTCACAAACCAACCAACCAGTGATTTTTCCACAATATAATTTTGTCAATAATTGTTGGTTGGACAGCATCTGAAAAACCATCCTGGATTTCATAATATAACCAGTGAATTTGTCAATAAGATTAGACACCAAAACAGTGACTGCATCTGTGGCTACCAGGGCCATCCGAGTTTCGCTGGACACCATGGGCACCATCAGAAATCACTGGGATCACTGGGTTCGGCCTGACGTGAAGCATGGCCCTATGGGATCTTCTAGATCTTAACTATGGAAAATCACCATGTTTGATGGGTAAATCCAAATATCAATGGCCATGTTCAATACTATCCTGAAAAAAATGAAACATATTGAAAAGCTGGATTCTGTGAGGCTGAGTGGATCACGTATCTCAATGCTAGTGATTGATCATACTTGTCACCTATTTGTGATGGGATAACCATGGGTAAGCCAGTTACGACACTTATGAACTTATGAAATCTTATGAACCTCACTAAGTTTGTAGAAGTGCAATGGTCAGCATATGTCAGCATTGTAGGGCAGCATAGCATTTTTTGCCAAAGATCGGCCGGATGCGGGTTGCTTCTGGCCACCATGGTTCCCTCGCAAGCTAGAGATGTGGCGAAGCGGCGAAGAGGAAATGGTTTCGGCTACGAGGTAAACGATGCGCACCCATCTGGGCAAATTCTACTTATTATGAATTCATTTTGTTTTCTCATTATTAAACTGACCACCATGAGTCTAACAGAAATCATTGCATGTGATTTGCCCATATAGATGCGCTTCCGGTCTCCGACGATCCATGAGGCTCAATACTAAGCCAGAGTCGCTGGCGAAGCGATTCTGTCGCGAGATCGAGTTGCCGCCATTCACCCGATGGCAGCCCCAAAAAAGATCACACATATGAAAGTGTATGTTAAAGTAATAGCAAAATGTATATTTTTTAACTACCTCTGCGGGGTTACCGTATGTTGATGTTTCATGACATCTCTTAGTCTTTACTTTATTGAGCTGAAGATTGCAAGACTGACGCTGTCCGGTTTGATCCGGTTTGCCATGTTTCTTAGGTCTCAACAGACTTGCAGTGATTTTTGGAGCATGGCATCGCGGGGCGGGGCATATCTTTCTGCCCATCTTACGATACATGCCGTGCAGACTGGAGCCTGAGATACTTGAGATGACCAAAATATGATAAAAACATGGTTTCAACATATGGATTTGCTGGTGATCTAATTTTTCGAGTTCCAAGATAAATTTCTGGCTCCTGTAAGTCATTGTACAAATGGACAAAGTTGAGCTTCTTGAGCTTCCAAAAGCTTAATCCGCTTCAGGCATCATCAGATGCATCAGGCAAAGTCTCGTCATCTGTTGAGATCTCATCTGAGTCATAGGCCAAAGACTTGGAGCCATCTCCGTTCAAGGGCCCACTGAAGAGAACTCTGACGGCTTCTCGGGGTTTCCCATCTCCTGAGGCAAAATGACCCTCGAAACAAAGATCCAAAAGTGGATTAAAAGGAAGGCCAATATGGCAAATCCAAATCGATATACTTCTAATTTAGTTATGCACAGTATCAATGGTTTAGTTTGACTTTAAGGGAAAAATTACGGAAACCATGATTTCCACCCACAAATACAGAGGTCTCCATATAGGTTTCCTTTAAATCATCCATCTTCATCCAATTTTGAGACAATGATATAATATATATATATATTATATTGAAGTATATTTCAGCTTAGTCTCTGGCAAGCATGTCCGCGGCATCCAGTGTGTGGCCATTGTAAAAGGGGATTGTCACCAAGGTCAGGCCCAATGCAGCGACCGAGGTCGCGGTCACAGTCACAAAAATCGCGCCAATGTGCCCCTGATTCCTGGGTCAATGGATTGGTTTTCTTGGGAAAATCTACAGGAAACCCATGGTTTTTACCATCAAATATAGGGCTTTCCTGTAAATTTTCCCATCATCCAATTCTATGACTGGGGGCGATCCACTAAGATCCACTAAGGACCACGAAGGAAATGATGGGTCGTGTTTCATGAAGGGACCAGTACCTGAACTCCTTGAAGATCTGAAAAAGGATCTTTAAAGCAAAGCATATGCCAGTTGCCTATGTCGCTTTCGCTTTCACACTGTCCAACTTCTGCCAACTTCCATCCGATTCCTAGACTTCGCATGGCAGCCAAGCAGCTTCAACTCAGAAAAAACATAGGAACCCAGTGTGGCACCCACCTTGCCGCAGGCTGCACTGATCCCGGCACCAGTGCCACGTACCATGCTTGGATAGATCTCTGCTGAGATGGCCATGGTGGTTACGCCCGGTAAGCTTTGGAAGGACAGCTGTACAATGTACCTCGAAAGGAACTGTTGTGCGGTGCAAAAACGACTGCTACCACTGGTATACCACTGGTTAGCCTGGACCGGGAATGGGTGCTAGCCGATACAAGTATCAAGTTGCGAATATGTTTCCTTCGGTTTCGGTGACGAAGCATCGTTTTTCTGGTGAGGTCGTAAGTGAATTCATTCTGACCAAGCTGCAGTGTAAAGAAAAGGGCGGAGATCTCTTTCAAAGGTCCATAGGCCACGGCCAGGATGAAGTTGGCAACAGCACAGCCGGCGAAACCAATGAACTGAACGCGCTTGCTGGATGTTTTACTGAGGAGCCATGGTGCCACGATCAAGGAAGGGATCACCAAGAGGCGGGTGAAGAATACGTCTAAGACACTCCTTAGCGTGCAGCGAACTGTTTTTAGCTGACGTTATTTTTTCTTTAAGGACCTTTTCGCCTTTTGAGATGCAGCTACCTCTCGATAGACAACTTGTGAAGCCTCAAGTGGATGATGTGGATGATGGTAGTGCTGCTTGGTGTGGTGCTAGTGACTAGTGCACGCTCAGGCACTGGCTGTATGCTGCGTCGGTGCCTGCTTCAAAGATGGCCGCATCGTTCTGCTTGAGGCCATACTCAACGATGTCGTAAAGGAACCAGCAGCCAGCAGTTCCCAACAAAGGTCTCCAATAGGGAAGAAGCAATGAAACTGTCGTCTCCTTCCACCCGTGGTTGTTAGGATAGCTAATGATTCATTTATATAATGTGATAGTGACCGTCATAGGGTGCTACTGGGATCCCACCAAGTTATGCAACCAACAATCAACTAGACCTTGGCTCACTCTTTTGGAAGGAAACACAAGAAAGTGCAACATCGTTCATGGATCAACATCTGCATTAGTTTGAAATCTCTGGCCTCCCGCTACCTATCCAGGCAAAATATGGCAAAATAATTCTTCATTGCATTCTGGGGTCCCAGTTCTACAGCCGAGTTTCGGGCCACGTTTGTCGGGAGACACCTCACTGTTTGATACTGTTTGGCTCTGCTACGCTTCTATATCTTACTAATCATATCAATATCATATCAGAATATATCAGAATATTAACCCTTATTTGCACCGATCCACGTGGTTTCCATGGATCCTTGTGCTCGATCTCCGCCTTCTTGCCCTCTTTGAACTTCTGACTGTCTTTCGTCGTCAATATACGGAGCAAAAGACCAAAGCCCGACCTGGTTTTTCAACATTGGAAGGTTTTTTCTTGTGTTGTTTCTATTTTGGAACCCGTTTTTCAACATTTTTGATGGGGAATTGATATTATTATGGATCACACACATCCTATTTTCTGGTGTGTTCAGCTATACATAGCAATTTCGAAGGGGGTGTCCAGACATTTAGGTCTCCCCCCTCTCTTGCTTAGTCTCTTGGATGATGGAATTGTTTATTCCCTGAAAGGTTCTTTTGTTGATTTTGCACGTGTCTAGTAAGCCCTGAAAAACATGGAATAAGTTTTTGTTGAAGGTAGTTTTGGGGTTAAAGGCATGGACATAAATAACCGTGCATGGCCGTAAATATCCGTTCAAAGGAACGTAAACACCCGTTCATAGACGTTAAACAGAGGTGCTCCCAGACCCCTAGTCACGTAGTGAGTTTTCCAAGATTTGGTTTTGGAACACATGGTTCATATAGAGATACCGTTGTAATCTATAATATTAATATTCATATTAGTATTAATATATATATATATTAATATTAATATATATATATATGGTCAGAGACATCTATGCAGCATGAATAATGTACATATATATATATATGGATATTGAGCACAAAGGAAAACCATCAACAGTCGCCGTCAGAATTTGAGACGTGAGTGCATGTGAATGATTTTTTTTGATGGCCACATGAGATGTCTGCTTCCGCGTCTTTTTCTGCTTTCACTCATGGTTTCGTACATGTGTTCCATGTTTATACTTGGACCATCTTGGACCGCCATGTCTTAAGGGCGGCGTACTTAAGGCGGTTAGACCCTCCCCCTCATGAGTATCCAGTCCGAGAGCTTTGTTTCTGATTGATTTTTTCTAAGAGAAAGAACAGTTTCGGACTCCATTTGGATGTGGGAGGGGCTCAAGGCACCTTAAGTACGCCGTACTTAGTGACATGTCATTTTTCCGTGGGAGGGGCTCAAAGCACCTTAAGTACGCCGTACTTAGTGACATGTCATTTTTCTGTGGGAGGGGCTCAAGGCACCTTAAGTACGCCGTACTTAGTGACATGTCATTTTTCCGTGGGAGGGGCTCAAAGCACCTTAAGTACGCCGTACTTAGTGACATGTCATTTTTCTGTGGGAGGGGCTCAAGGCACCTTAAGTACGCCGTACTTAGTGACATGTCATTTTTCTGTGGGAGGGGCTCAAAGCACCATTTTTTCTGTGGGAGGGGCTCAAGGCACCTTAAGTACGCCGTACTTAGTGACATGTCATTTTTCTGTGGGAGGGGCTCAAGGCACCTTAAGTACGCCGTACTTAGTGACATGTCATTTTTCTGTGGGCAGGACTCAAGGCATCTTAAGTACGCCTCTACTTAAGTACGCCTCTACTTGACTTCATATCTAATTTCCAGAAACCCCCTATGTGATCATCATATTGGCTATGAAGCTTGGAGCAGCCCCGTTAAAAGTGATCAAAATTGAAAAGTATCCTTTTAGCAAGATGGACGATAAACAGAATCCAAGAGGTGCAGGCATATGTGCATATATATATATATAGCAACCCCCATCTAGTCACACAACATCCACAGTTCACAGTTTCCCACATTTTCCTACCACAAAAGTGGCAAATGTGAACCACAGTGCTGCTATATGCTACCCGACTGGCAGGATGGATCCCACAGCAAAGATCCATCGCCACAGAAGATGCTCGGGCACACCACTGACATCCATCAAGTAGGTCACCAAGGGGCACAATGCTTGGCCACCCCCCGAGCCAAAGAGGTATAACAGGGCCACGTTACGAGCTCCATCTCCCGCGTCTTCGGAAGATTCCGCGCTGTGGGAAGAGGCTAAAGGATATTCACCGCCCATCCCCACACCTGTGATGATCCTGGCAATGTTTTTGGTGGGAACTGAACAGAAACCAATGGAAATGCATGGAAATGCATGAGCATCTTCAACCATGTTTATACCCATGATGTTCCAAAATCCCCATAGCCCTGCAAGTGGAGGTGGGTCAAAACTTGAAACATCCCAGGTCGTTTTCGTTCACTTAAAATTTCAAAACACTCCTTGCGGCGATCAAAGCGTTCTCACCCCAAGCAAAAGTGCTCAACAAAGCACCAACCAAAGTTATGATGGAGCACAGAATCAGCCCTACCCGTCTTCCAACAATGTCTGAAAGTGGTCCCATGACGATCCTTAGTTGGCCCGAAGTCCGAAGCTGTTGAAAAAACAAAGGTCATAGATGAAATCATTCATAGTTCATACTACATGTATTTATATATTAATCATCACATGATATAATTTATTATATCTTTGTTACTGTATTATCATTACTATATCGTTATTATTACTATTATTATAATAATTATTTAGTATTATATTTTTATTATCAACTCACAATTTATATTCAAATAAAATCAACATGTGTTGTACTATATGTTGTATTATGTATACACATTTATTCATAATATATAAGAATATAATAATCATAGAATATCATAGATACACTGCTCCAAGCCGATTCAAGGCTCATTCCTAGGATTGCACCCCCATACATGGCCGACTTCACGAAATCCTTCTGCGCATCTGTGGCATGGAACTCGACCGCATAATGTTCCACAAAGTTGGTGGCACCCAACATGTACTTGTCCGTCAGCAAGCCGATGCCGGTGGCGATGCCAGTGATCACTGGGTGCACCATGGGAATGGGGATCGGGATATGGGATGTACAATGATCTACACTAAGCTGGTGTCCAAGGCCAGGGACCCTTGAGCGAAACCTCTGGGAGCCATGAAGCCATGAAGCCATGCAGCAAGTTTAGTTCACCCTTGCGGGGAGGAAACGTGCTTTTTGTTGAGGATTGAGAATTGGTCAGATGCGAAACAAAGAATATGCGCAAACTATATATACAGTATATATAGTTATATATATATATATATACATCAGCAAAAGTGCAATGTGACTCTAATCTTTCGTCGAGATCTTGTGACGAGCCACATCGCAATGTGCCCTTCCGCGTCTCTCAGATCTGTATGCCCACCATGGCCGGCCCTGGACGTCAGACACCAATGAACCCAAATCATACTCTATCGGAGACTCTATATCGTCTTTATTGATAGTAGTTTCTCAAAAAAAAAAACATTTTTTTGGGGCATCTGTGGGGGTCAAGTAGCTTTTCAGGAGGTGTCTTGATGTTTGGATCATGACTGGCATCCATATGGTGCGATTTCACTGGGATGTTTCACCGATTTGGATAGCATGGCCATGAAAAATCAATGGGTTCATTGACCATTGGAGTCACCCGGTCACCCATGGCAAATAAGGATGGAACAAAGGCAGCAAATGAAACCAGCAGCCAGCAAGTGCCAGAACACAGAATTCAGAATGCTTGTGATGACTGTGATGACCCCAATCATTGCCACTAGGAAAATACAGCTGTACGATGCTGTACGACTGTACGCCGAAAGGGTTCCCTATTTCAAGACCAGTCGCAATATGAGTTCCTTTGCACCGAAGGTACGGTCGGTTCATTCTTCGCTATTGTGAATATTTGCAGCACTTCAGGATTATTCGCAAACAAATCAAAAAGGAGATCCGGGTAGTCAAACCTCATCAAAACGCACATAACCACAAGTAACATCGATTAAATCACCAAACAAAACATGATAAAACACAACGGATCTCACATAGTCTCATCTTTCACCACAAGACATATCAAAACATATTAACATCAAATCACCCCATAGAACCAACAGCCAACAGCCGATCAACAGGGCTGCGCCGGCTGCGCCTTCCATGCTCCGCACTTCGACGACTTCGCCCACTTCGACGACTTCGGCTGCGGTGTCCGGCCACCCTGGTGGAGTGTGGGGGGACTGCCTTTAAGGGACAAGACAAGACCATGTTCTCATGTTCAACTATATATGTTTAAGTTTAAACTGTTTAAACTGTTTAAACATGTTTAAATTGTTTAAACATGTTTAAACTGTTTAACATGTTTAAACAATTTTAAACATGCTTAAACCTATATAGATGTTCTTGAAAGATCTTAAAAGTTACGACATTTGCCTGATTTTCTATGGGCGTGAAGAAACGCCGACGGTATCACATATAGTCATACCCCCCACTAATTAATTATTCTTGCTATGCGGATGCCGGATTTGAGATTCGAATCAGTTCAATAATGCTTTGTGTAGACACCATCGATCCCGTTCTCAATGTGTAAACCCCGTGCAAAACAGTACACACAGCATCTGAAGTGAGCGAGACAATGGGCAAAGAGTTGCAATACGTGACAAACCAAAAACACAAATTAATATTGGTCGCAATTATTTGAGTTAAACATCAACACCTTTGGAATATGTTTGATCAACTAGTTAACTGGTTATGAAGACGGTTTCCCATTTTTTGGAAGGTGTTTAAAAGTTTTAAAACACCCACATTGTAAAATGGGCCCATGGCCTTTCGTTTCCATCTTTCCGCACGGAGGTCAATGAGGACTCCGCATCGGTGACTGGAGAAGCATCGCGAATCCTGGGGACCGTTGAGCTTTGCCTCAGACATGCACCACGACACTAACTCACTTTTGATTTACTTTAATGGGTGAATATAAACTATTATGTTTAACCGTTATAACCGTTGCATGTTGGATCGACGCGAGATTTTTGTATCTGACCTAATTAATGTGAATGTAAAAGATCTGTGTACCAATTACAACTTGGTGTGCTGCGCAGAGCTTTGACAAAGGGTGTCTGTTGATCGCAGCATCCCAATATATCCCAATCATTTGAATTTGTGAAGTGAACCACACCAACAAATTCGTTGGACATAAAAAAGGGTCCTCTCGACTCTCAGGTTCGATGTTCCATAGACCCTGACTCACAAGAAAGCAGTCCTTCTTGTATAGTGGCCTGTAGGCAGCATCTTCTTCATGCGCCTTCTCCTTAACGTGTGCTATGCATATATATATATATAATACAATATAATAAAATATAATATAATATAATATATAATATATAATATAATATAATATAATATAATATATCATATCCATTCATATCCCATAAGAGATCCCTACCGATTCAGGGGGGCGGGGACTTTCCCAGTAGGTAAAACCTTCAAAATTGTACAGTAACTTACATGTTCTCAAAAACCCTTAAATTTGCTACCTTCAAACATGTAATTAACTTACATTTTGAGTAGGTAAAACCGTCCCAAATGAAAGTTACATGTTCTTTTGGGTTTTGAAGGTGCCATTTCTGTGAGCGGGGGTCTTTTCCTCATGTAAGTTGATTCTGAGCGAGCCTCCAAAGCATGGGTTCATCCAGCCAAATGTGGCAGGAACACGCAGGAACCAAAAAGTGGAAGATAGTGGAAGGCAGAAACAATGTAAGCTAGTTAGCTAGTTGTTGGCCCTCTCCATTTCAATGGTCACAACATGCCTGACATATTCCTGGCGAATACCTGAAATTATTTGACCAAGGAATGCTTAGGGGGGTCGCAACTTACATTTTTAATCGTTGACTTTTGCTACTTGACAGCTTTTAACTTACAATTAACCCCCGCCTCCAAAACCACCCGAAAATTGTAAGTTACATTTTGCCAGGTCCCCCCCCAAAAGCCTAGGCTAAGCCGGTAGGGATCATAAGAGATCGGGATTTGACTTGTCTGAAAAATGTTTGGTATCGATTAGTGTGATGGACCACTATTGTGGATTTTTCTTTTCCATCATAATTCAATATCCTGTGGATGGTGGGGGTGGGGCTAAAAATTGTGGAAGTTGTTCCTCAGATCCAATTTTTTCAGGAGCTAAAAATCCACCAACTTATCCACCTTTCTTTTGGTAAAGCTGGTCCATTTACTTTAGAAAACCATATCCATGTTAAAGCCTTGAACATGCAAGGTTTCTCACATAATTAGATGCTTTATTAAACCCTTATTTAAAAACTGCTCCCAAACAATTTTTCAAGGGGGTACCCCATGAGTGACCCAAATCCTCAATAATGAAATTGTTTCGATGCTGCTACCCTATTGTGCACAAAAACTTGTTGGGTGATTTGTTTTGGATTAAACAGGAAAACCAATGGAAAGTAGATTCAAATGAATTGAAAGTAATTTGGTTTCAATTAAAATCCTGTCTTATCAATATAGATTTCTTTGAGGTTTAAACGGAAAATCAATTGAAAGTAGATTCAAAGGAATTGAAAGTAAATTGATTTCAATTGAAATCCTTTCTTATCAATATGTGTTTAAGGTTTAAAAGGAACATCAATGGAGAGTAGATTGATGTCAATTGAAATCCTTACTTAAGTTGACTATCTGTCCTAAAAAAATGTTGAGGGGGGTCGTCTAAAATGGTGATTTATTGAGAACCCGCAAATTGTTGAGGGGGGGGCCACACTAATCAATAGCCAACATTATTGTTTCTGCTTTTTGGGACTATACTAGAAGCACATGCCCGTGCCAAGAGGTAGTGCAACTTTTCAGTCTGAGCACCCCACGCACGAATGAGCATATTTTGCTGTTCGGCTTGAGACATGCCGCTCCTGCGACTCAACTTGTTTTGCGTGGCTGCCACTGGTTTTCAAGAGAAACCTTCAAGGCAAAAAACAGGGGATCCCAGGCTGCCAGCCCACTGTCCAGATACCCGCTGGCTCTTCTGCCACAGGTTCGTTCCACTCCCATCCCTCAGACCTAGGCAGCAACATGGGAATGAACATGCTAAAGAAACTCCTGTCATGTCCTGCAAAACCACATCGCTTCACCCTAAGATACCCTAAGACTGGCCCTCAAAAAACAGTGCTAAAAAGGTGGCTCTACTGAGGATCTTTGAGGTACCATCGTATAAAATTACAATAAATTACATAACGGAGTTGAACGGAGGGATGTGATAAATGAGACGCAAATTTGACAATCATAAAATCCCAGGTTCCAAAACAGGTTGCCCGAAAAATAAGTTGGAGTTGTCTGAAGATGGGATATGTCCCCAAATAACCATTTAAATAGAGATATTGATGATTGACCAATGGATGGGGTACAAGAGGGTACACGTACAATACATTTTCGGACAAATCCAGTTAATCACTTGTTATCACCTAATGGACAATTCATGACAATTTTCACCCCTTTTTTGGGCCATTGAGGTCCTCCTGCAGTGGACGGGGCCTGTTTCTCTTCTTCCCACTCTTGCCGTTTTTCTTCGGTGGCAGCTCTTGGCCCTGCAGGGTGCGACAGTGTGTGTGTGTGTTGTTTATTTTGGGCTGTGTGTGTGGGTGTGTGTTTACATGTCATGTCATGCGCGTGCATTTTGTATACTATGCATTTTGCCTCCTTGTGTACGATTAAAAGCAATAAGTGTGTGTGTGTGTGCATGTGCGCGTGCAGCATGTGTTTGCGTGTGTGTGTGTGTGTCTGTGTGCGTGTACTGATTTGCGTTGCTCAAGTTTTGGGACGTTTGAAAACATGGTGCCCCAATATCCAATGGTTTATCATTTTCCCAACAAAAAATAAGAATGTCATTTGGAAAGTATGCGGGTATATGCATTTTTTCCACCACCAAAATCACAAATAACATCAAAAAAAATAATTGTTTTTGGGGTGTTTCAACCCCAACATACCCCAACAATGGCCAGCATTTTCGGTCTCCCATCCCCACCTGGGTCAAGGGCTCTTTGGGATCCACCACCGGGGCTCTCGGCAGCTCTGCGGGGGCTTCGGCCTTTTCGCAGAGGCCGCCGTGCTTCAGCTTTCGACATTCGCCTCCTGGGACGAAAAGTCCCCAAAATTGGAAGTACAGTCCAAGCACTGTAAAAGAATTCCTTGTATAAGAAAATGACGGGTTGGATTTTTTTGCCGCGTCGCGTATATGTTTTGTGGAAAATATATATACATATACATATATATATTATATATATATGCAAATGGAAGTTAAGAAATTGAGGGACCCTGGAGCCCCTGTGTGCCCCTGCTCAATTTTCTTAACCATGAGATAAGTTATAGAGATTCTATTTGGAGCGGGAAATGGAGCCAGCCTCCCTTGCAGCCAAACCCGCCAAAATGAACTTTGCACAACCGTGGCACGGTTGGGCATGACAAGCAAGGGGGCAGGACCAACTTAGATTCGAGCCACCACACGGTCACCAAGATTACCGGCAACAGCGTCAGCTAGACACTAGCCAGACTCACTGTAGGTCATCTGTACCCTTGGCTCGTGTTGCCTTGGCTTGCCTTGCCTTGCCTTCCCTTGTGTAGCGGAGATCTTCGCCGGGTAAGGGTTCAATTCAATACATATAACTAAGAAATCTAGCCCCTCAATTTCTTAACCATGTAAGGGTTTACAAAAGCCTTGTGTAGAGGAAACGTCGCCGAGTAAGGGTTCAATTCAATACATAACTAAGAAATCTAGCCCCTCAATTTCTTAACCATGTATATAATGGTTTAAAAGAGCCTTGTAGAGGAGACGTCACCGGGTAAGGGTTCAACTCAATACATAACTAAGAAATTCAGCCCCTCAATGTAACTGTTCCTTTGTGCCCAGGAGCCATTGGGAAGCGGAGCAAGGATGGCAGAGTCAAACTCACGAAAGGAGCTGCGCAGAGGCAACCCCGCTCTTACATCTTCATTAAGAAATTGCTAAGGGACCCTCGACCGAATAATTGTAAATATATACTGACATACATGGGGCCTTTCCGATAAGAAATTGAGGGACCCTGGCCATCGGCAACCAACATTCTTATATAACGCTCACGCTGTACTTCAAAATCTTCAAAGTACTTCCATGGCATTGGCCAACTTTGTCCCATTCAACAGTTAAACTTTGAGCCCTTTGATGGGAAATCCACAATGCCAGGCCACTTGTTCAGGTTGAAAAAGCCACCAAGCGCAGCTGAGTTTCGGAAGTGCATGTGGCATTTCTTGCAGCAGAAACTTCCCATCCTGAGGTGAGGAGGAAAGAAACATAGCTGCAAAAGTTGATAATTACTGTACATACCATCTTGTTTTTTAACATAGCTGTGAAACATGGTCCATCATGATTTACCTATTCAGCATGGCGATTTTCGATAGCTACGTTCCGGAGGGTATGTTGTATGTATACAGTATACAATTCAAACATCAGGGTTCAGATAAGGGGGGAGGAGTTGTGCAAATGGTTTTGGTAGATACAAAGCGGAATGCATAGGGTGCACAACTACAAAATGCAGTGCATGTTGCTTTTTTTGCAGCTACAAAATGAAGAACATAACTGGCTCGGAAGATAATTCAAAACCAGTACTACAAAATATTACAAAATCCAATGCATCTGAAGTTAAAGAATAGCTGAACGTCGGAATTGCTAACATTATTTTTCCCAATGACATTTTGTAGTTGGGTCTTTGCCATCCAAAGTTCCGACCAACATAAATTCGGAGAACATTTTGCAGTTGTCAATGATTGAATTTAGTTGGATCAAGTGTTGACCCCGTGCAGTTTGTTAGATGGCATTCTGTAGCTTCATGATCTGTTTGTGTCCATGTACATGTCACGCACTGTTTCCTTGTTTCCACCTCTTCTCACCTCCTCAAATGCAAAATGCAACTGAGATTTTATGTTGGATGCTTCAACTATTCAACTTGTACAACTACAAAATGCTAATGATATTTTATGTTGGATGCTTCAACTAACTCAACATATACAACTACAAAATGAAAATAATGATTTGAAAGGAATCAACTACAAAATGATTCCAAATACAAAATGGGGGGCAAAACCCCTCCTGTTTGTACAAAAAAATCCTGGCTGGCAATCTGTACTGTAGCCCAAGTCCTCCCCATTTCGTAGCTGAAATTTGAAGGTGGATATTAAAACAAATTCAATCTTAAACTCTTAAACTTTGGCAATATCGAACCCTTCATCTTCCAGTCCAATGTGAATGCCACGACTGATCACACCCTCGCCACGATATGCTCCGAAAGGGCTCCAACAGATTCACCCACCTGCGGCCGCTCAGCGACCGCTGCGACCCAGGATCTTCTCTGAGTTCGTTGCGACCAAATATTCGCACTGCGGGTTGCTGCATTTCAAGCGTTCTGATCCTTCGACACTCATGGCCTGTCCAAATGCCAAATCGTTGGGAGGGGTCGGAGTTAGCTGACGTGGGAGCTTTTAGTTTATTTTGGTCCAAAATATGTTTTATATTATGTTTTATATAATCAATTGAACACATGCGTGTCATTGCAGGGCATGCCATTTTCTCGGAAAGATTCTCCAGTGTCACTTGCTAGAGAATACTGGATCACTGGAGAGTAAGCCTCAAAGCCTTTGAAGATGTAGCCCACACGGGGATTCCGGTTCACTCCGACTAATCTGCGAGAATCATCAAGCAACTGGAAGATCGTTTATGGCATTTGGCTAAGCTTGGACCTTGGAATGCCGAGAAAAAGTATGACCTGGTGCCATGTTTTGGCATGGTCTCTGCAGAGTATCTACTCTTATTTGGCCAAAAATGGACTTTCTTCTAGAGGCACTCTGTGGGAACCACATGTGGCTCTTCTAGGGATCCTGTATGATCCTGTCCCTTCCACCATGCTTGAGCCTGGTCACGGCTCAAATCAATCGGTGGTAGCATGTGGAAACATGTGGCAACATGGGGCTTTCATGATCTTTGCATGTCCCTAAATAATCCTGCAATGATGACAAAAAAGCGCTCCGCAAACTTTTGGAACATCAACTAGGAGGTGTGGCCGCGCTGTATCTGGCAGTGCCTAAGAATCACGTCAGGATAGAATCCGAGTCCGTGTGGCTGGCCATTGGGGATCGCTATGCTAGATATGTAATGTATAGATATGTAGTCTCTACGTGTTTCTATAGAAATTTTCCTCAGCCTGTGCTGCGCTCGCCACAGAACATGTTCTAGCTTTAGTCTGGGCACAGATCACTAAGCACTGCCATTCCTTCTCCAACATCCTACGGTGCGGCCTGACCCCAGTTGGTGTATCTGGAACCTTCACAACTTCAGTACGTTCCTTTCAATTCTTTTCCCACCTTTTCCGATTTCAGATCTTGGAGTCTTGTTATTTCTGGTTGGCAAATGTTGGCTGTTGGCAGTCACCAGATGTCACCAGGAGGGCCCAAGCATTGAGACCATGAAAGCGCTCAGAACATCAAAAGGTCTGGAGCCACTGGAGCCACTGGAGCCTGGGCTTCGAAGCGCCAGCACCGCCAGCACCGACATTCGCCCAGCGAAATTTCAGGGGAGATTCTTTTGGAGAGGTATGGTGCTGTCCATTGCTGCGCTGATCAATCTTAGATCAAGATGAACCATTAATATCTGCATATAAATATAACATACTATTACTAACATAGTATGATATATTATCACATATACCACAAAACTACATCAGCAAATGAAAACACAACAAACGAGCTGCGCAGCTGTACCTCGACGGTTACCTTCGCCAATCACTTGCCCTGGCGATTTGCCAAGCAACTTGATCTCCACGGAGGCTTGTGCATCACGTCATCAAGCTATACCCCGAATCTACAACGTTCTTAAAGGGTCATGATATGTCATGATTCATGATGTCATTTTCATATTGATATGTTCATAAATTGAGACTCTAATAATTTCCAGCAAGACCCATAAAAAACACCTTCATAGACCTTCAACAGAGTTGTTGTTTTTTCATCTTTAAACATGTGTCAAAACCAATAGTACCCCTTCTGTTCACATCAAAAAATAACTGGGTTAAAATGCATGTTCATTCCATTTCATTCCCCTAAAAATGGTATTTTCATAGCTATTGATCCATACCCATATTAACTATGGAAAATCACCATTTTTAATGGGAAAACTCACTATAAATGGCCATTTTCATAGGTATTGATCCATACCCAATCTTTAAAGATCCAATACACCCAGGGATGGGCACCTTGGACATGCTGAACATCGTGAAGGCACCGATGTTGCCCAGGATCTCAGGCCGAACGAAGGGAATGGAGACTTTTTGCCGTCGTTGCGTTCTGTTTCAGTCTTGCAAACGTGAACATGTGAGCCATGCTGGAAACCTTGATAGATTCTTAGGTCGTAAGAACATGCTTACGCACATGCTTGCGCATCCTTACGCTATTGGGGGTTTCTCTTACGCGGGGATCTGGGCTTTCTATGGGCTTATGCAAGGCTTACGCGAAAGTAAGTCACCACAAAATCATTTTTTTTCGTGAAACGTTCCTTACGCGGCCTTTTTTGCAACAGAGTATTTCAGTGCGTCGTTCATCATTTGTCGAATCCGAAGATGAAGATGTTGAAGAAGAGGATGTTGAGGACGAGCCTGAACCGTCAGCTTTCAATGTTGCCTGTTGCCGTCGACGCTTTCGAGCCTGCTTGCTGAGAGTTCGGGCCTTGGCTGATAGTTTTTCTTTCCATTGCAATTGCGAAAAAGGGCGGCGTTTCGGGGCCATGGGGCAACTGTTCAGATAAAGCAGGTGGGCCTTACGCGTTCCTTACGCATACCTTACGCGTTCCTTACGCATACCTTACGCGTTCCTTACGCGAAAAAACACATTTTTGTTTCAAAATTGGGAGCCCCCAATTAAGGCACATGGAAAAACATGCATATATCATATATCTGTATATATCTGTACATTAATTATCTGTTGTAAGCTTGTGTGTGCAATTCCAGTTGTTTCTTTTTTACAGCAGGTTTCACTTCAGGTGCTGTTGTGCTATGCAAGCTTGTGGAGCAATAGCGGCAAACATTTGAAATACTGTCCGTGGCGTGTACATTTCGGCTGCACTGCACCCAGGTGAAAACAAAAAACCAAATCGAAAACTCATGCAGGTATGGCACATAATGGCACATGTTGGGCCGGGACATATTGCTTATTGGAACCGAACCGTTTAGGAACCGAACCGACTTCCTGTAAAACTGAACCGAACCGTGGCCACACTGGTTTTGCCTAGTCTGCAATATCTGGAGCTCGGTTTCCCTTCCATTTGACTATCATCAACGTGACCAAGCATATTGACCCTCATGTTTCTTTCATTCTTTAGCCAAAAGGTGCTTTTCAAGCATGCCTTACGCAGGCTTACGCACAACATTCAAAGCCAAAAACCTTGCGCAGCTCTTACGCCACTGCAGTTTTGGCTTACGCGAAGCCACCTTATGACCGTCCCCTTACTCACCAATACATAAAGAGTTTATAGCGCAGCTCATGTGATAAACAAACATCATAAATAAATAAATATATATAATATATATGCAATATGTATATATATATATAACATCCTATATAACATTAATTATCTGTATCTGATGATATCTGATGATACCTGATGATACCGGATGATATCTGATGATACCTGATGATATCTGATGTTTGGTCCAATTGCTGAGTCAAGTCTAAGATCCGAACTGCAAGAACAAACACTTGCCCATAGAAGCCAGCAGGTACCGTCTGCGGTGCGAGGTGCACTGCACAGGGACCCAGATCTATCGGATCAGGGCATGGGTCAACTCTGAAGATCAAAAGGGCATTAAAAGCATTTAAAAGCTTCATCCATTGTGACCCGTGTCCCATTTGAATTTGTCAAATCCATAATTTTCTTTTTTTTTGTTTTAACATGTAAGAGCTATATCTTATGCTCATTTATAGCCTTCTGATTGGAAGATCAACGAAGCTGCTCAAGCCATATCCGACACCTCCAGGCCCATGGTCAGAGACAATGCAATGGTGGCAGCCTGTCGAACAGTGGGAACGATGGTGTAAGTTTAAAGGTGCCCCCAATGATCCCCAATGGTAGCCCCAACACTAATTAGGCGCTCCAATTAATAAGGGGTCCATGGGGGTTAATAACCTATACCCTATACATATACCTATATATTTCCACGATACAAACTACAGTGAGATGCCCTTTCTCCAAAACCATCTTAACCTGATGTCCGTTCAACCACTGGAGGAGTCAAAAAACTTAATGTCCATCCGAACCTTGTTGAAGTTGCCGGCAAGGGTGCAATGTGTGGGAGAGAGCTTGTGGACCTGATGTCATTGACCATCTGTGGAAGTAGTTGGAATCATCTGCAAGAATATGACAGTATTATGACATGGGTCCTCATAGAAGGAAACACGCACACGCACATACATATTATAAATATGTGCAACATTTTGAAACAATATCATTCGAATCCATATGAATATCATTGAATATCACTAATATGACCAAATGATTCCACAGTGCTGACATGTGCTGACTAAAGTGTGGCTTGTATTATCATGCTCACGGCATTTCCCTCAGCACCCGGCCACAGTGTACTGCAGAATGTTGTAGAAAAAAGACAGGACCTTTGGTCAAGCAATTTATTTAAATCAAACACACACGCACGCACACACACACACATATATATATATTAATTATATATTATATATATATCTACCTTTACCCTCTAAACCCTTTAAAAATAACGGGTTTATAGCAATACCTCGGGTTTTACATCCAACCCTTTTAAAATAACGGGTCAGTGACAAAAACATCGGGTTTTGGTCAACATGGTAATTTCCAATGAATTTCACATCCTTCAACCCCTCGGCAGCGAGCCCAGGCGCAAGAGAACGTTGGGATCAAGCAGCGTTGGGGTGCTGCAGGGATTCCACATAGATTTGAACGGGTTTAAATAAAATTTAAACATTCATAACCCATATAATTGTAACTCCAAGCGGGTGACAATAAAGTGATGTATTCACTTGGAATCATTATCAACATCATATCTGACTATACCAGATAAAAAAAACAACCATATGGAAACCAAGCGTGACATATAGGAGATGATGTGTGGAAAGATACCTCAACATAGCCCAACCAGCCATGCGCTGCCAGCTTTTCCATGGCAAAGAGTACGTCGCAATTTGGCCAGCGGGGTCACTCAGTCCTGCCGAGGATGCAGTTTGAAACATCTTGAAACGATTTGTTTTTTATGCATGGGTATATCTATAGCCTCAAAGGAACTTGATATTTCTATCGACACCGTCCATTGATATCAAAAACATGTGGGTTGTAACAAGCTATACCACGTGCGGCATTCCAGTGCCACAAGTCTGCATGTACCACTATAGCCGTTTGGCTTAAAGCAGTTGATGGTGGTTCACTCCCCAGGTCATTTTTGATGACGGGGTCAATCAACAAAAAGCCTGGTGGTCGTCCCAAGCAGACTATCACCGAATCCATCGACTTGAAAAATCTTCATGTTGAATGGGACTCCATTGAGGAGATTAGAGACCGAATCCGGGATGGTGGTGATCTTTTGATTCCAACCAAGGGGGAGTCAATTCCAGCCATTCTGTCTAACTCTTCGGTGCTACAGCCCTTGATCACCAGGATGAGTTTGAC